CATGTGCCACATACTCTAGAAAATGTTGGTTACATGCGTAGGAGTCTAGGAAAAGACTCCTTGCGTTTGATCCTCAGCTTTACCATTTTCTCACTGTGTCATCTTTGACAAACTACTTAACATCTCTGTGTCTCAGTTTCTACATCTTTAGAACATGTATAACATTCTTACCTATTTCATAGGGTTGAGAGGATTATAGAAGTGATTTCATGTAGAGCTTTATATTTGTGTAGTATGTTAAAAGTTCTCAAAAACGATGAACTCTTGCTATGGAGGTTGTTTATTTGCTTTTATCTTGACCTGGAATTTAAAATATATAAATTCTACATTTCTCCCACCAGGGGTCACCTCTGTATTGATCAAAAACACATTGGAACCAGTTTCCTCATTAAATCCTAAGCCTGGGCTGGAGGCTGAACTGCATATCCTTTCTCATCTTACCTTCCCTGCTGAGTTATCACACATCTCAGGCTCAGAGAACATTCTGGTCTGCAAATCTTAAGGCCCTATCGTGTCAGGATATCAGGAAAATCACTGCAACTAGGGTAGGGTTGGTGTGTTGGACAAATTACAGTTTCAGTGTTGTTTTCCCTTACACCCTTCTCTAGATTCCCTGCCAGTTCTCAATTCCTGGCCTCTCAGTGTGCTGAGGCAGTCAGAGATGTGGCACAGCACCTTAAACAGGATTGGCTGTGGCATTTAATGATCTTGGCTCTGCCAGTTACTAAATATGAAACCTTAGGTAAGATCATCTTTTAGAACTTCAGTTTCTGTTAAAAAAACAAACAAAAATGAAGGAGGTAAAAATACATACCTTAGAAGATTGTTCTAAATAAAATAATACTTTATAAGAGCCTGGCACATAGAAGTCTGTAATTATTAATTATCTCCCTTTTTTCCCAATTGTGCCCTGTTTTCCTTAGTTCTTTCTATCTCTGTATGTGGTTAGATTACTTTTATCTATACTTACATCTATGCAGCAACAACTTAAACTCAGTTATTAAAATGGGAATAGCATTTTATATAGTTTGAAGAAGATTCCAGAGCGACTGAGTGATTCATACCCAGAGTATTGGATCTGGGGAATCTTTCCTAAAGAGATGAGCACAATAAGCATTGCTCTTAATAGCCATGGGAGTTTCTTTCTTGACGGATAGAAAAGAGGAGACCTGGCCCTAAGGAGAGAGTGGAGGAAGAATTACCATGCAATTTTCTCATGGTCATTATACTCAATTTGTTTTTAGGATACAGAAGCTATTCATCAGATCTCAATAGCCATTTACTGCCCTATTTAATTTGTCAGTCCTTATATAACTTTGAGAGGTAGGAATTAGATGATCACATTTTTATAGAAAACTTGTCCAAAGTCTTTTATCTAGTAAGTGAGAGCATGAACTTGAAACCTAGGTGATGTGATATGCACACATACACTCATGACGACACACCCACAGGCACACCAGCTCACAACCAAAAATGCACCCTGAGGCAATGCTAACACACATGCATGGGCAGGGTTAATGTAAGCTTCTTTATACTCTTCCCTTGAGAGTAGGAAGAGAGGACATCAGGGTCCCTCAAGCCCTTATTATCTACCTCTTCCCCAAGCTGAGCAGTGACCAGAGGAAAGATAAATGAGCAGGGAATCAACCTCTCAGTCCCTTCCTTTCCCCTCCACTTATTTCTTTGTTTGGTGTGCCTGACCCTCTTGCAGATTCACTGTGTGCCGGTCAGCTCAATCTTTCTTCTCTCTTTGGCCCTATTCCGGGATTAGGTGAGTCCTGGCTGTTTGAACAGATGTGGTTGGGACTCAGATTTGGAATGAAGGAGGAGGAAATGAATAGCCCTGGGCTTCATTTTCTTTTCTTTTTTTTAAAAATTTTTTAAAAAATATATCTTTATTGATTTCAGAGAGAGGAAAGGAGAGGGAGAGAGAGAGAGATAGAAACATCAATGATGAGAGAGTCATTGATCGGCTGCAGCCCACAACCCGGGCATGTGCCCTGACCAGGAATCGAACTCCGATCGCCAAGGATCCTAGGTCGATCCTCAGCCGCTGAGCCACGCCCGGCAGGGCATGAGCTTCATTTTCTAAGAGCCATGAGCTAAGTACTTTAGCTTTCTCTCCTGAGCAACTCCTAACTTTAATCCAAGGTCATGATCTCCAGTACTTGCATATATGCTCCATCGAATGGACCCCAAAAGATGAAAATAAATGGTCAGTTATACAATGGGTTAAGAATGACCATTGTAAGTGGTGTTCAGGCAATTTCAGTATCAGATGTGTGACAAGAACCCATGGCCCTAACCTAAAGAATGGAGTTAAGTGTGTGGGTTTCTATGTGCCCTGGGGTGCTCTTATTAGTTTTTATGCACCTGCCTATTTTGATTCTCTTTTTTACTCTGTGGTGTGACTGCTAGTAATAACACTGATGATATAAAATGTAATCTAATAAAAAGAAGTAAAAAATTTACATCCTTATTATGTGTCAGGTACTACACTAAAGAGTGGTTTTGGAGAGTGCCTTATTTTATCTTAATAATAACTGCAAAAATTAGAGATATTAGGCCCTTTTAGAAAATGAGGAACCCAAGGATCATATAGTTCAAGTAAACTTGCCCAAGTTCCAAGTTCACACAGCTAGTAAATTACGGAATCAGTATTCAATGCCTATTTTTCTGGTGCCAGAGCACATACTCTATGCCAATATTTAATAAGATACTGTGGGCTTGTGTGTGTGTGTGTGTGTGTGTGTGTGTGTGTGTATCTACCATAATACCATAATCACATTTAATAAAAATAATACTAATTACTTTATATCATCCAATACCTACTTCATATTTAAATTTTCCCAATTATACATTATTTTTCTTTTATACCTGGTTTGTTTAATCAGAATCCAGTCAAGAATTGCATTTGGTTGTTCATTCTCTTAAAGTTGTTTTAATGTATAAAGACATTTCTTCATTTAAGCTCCAACTCTTTTTTTTTTAATGTCATTGACTTAATGCAAAGACCAGGCTGTCTTGTAGATTGCCCAGCATTGTGAATTTGTTATAGAATCACAAGTCTCAGAGTTGATTTTCTTTACGTGTGCCCATGTTGGTTTGTAAATGCTTTTGAATGACTGTATAAACATTTATTGTGTCTGAGTGCATAAAAATATAAAAGCTAGAGAAGACCTTTACTCACATGTGTATAAAAGAAGGATCACCTCAGACAAGCTGGAAGAGCTGTTATTCAAAATATATGATTTTAGGGGGCTGATGCCGTACATTGTTGGAGTACATAAGCATCAAAGAAGGGAGGTTTCAACATGAAGGCTGAACAACTCAATCAGATCTCTGCTGTTGGCAATAGGTGAGCTCTGGGCTTCCAGTGGACAAGAGAGCCAAAATGAAGCTAAGATATTCAGTAGATGGGGGCTAGACTATCTGGTCCACTGTCTGAACTCTGGACTGTGTTCCCAGAACCTAAGCCATATGAATTATGAAGACACATTAGAGGAGTGTTTGTGTTACTATAAGAAAAGTGTTTTTATTTATAGATAAAGAAAAGGAGAGATAAAAAAAAAGAGCATCTTGTTTCTCATTTGGCAAAAGCAGAAGAAAATAAATATTGGTCTGCTAGATGTAAGGTATTGGGCCTAAGGATAAGATAAAAAGTGGGGGTGGTGATAAGGTTGAAGGGAAGTTATGTCCTTGTCAAGTTTGGAATCTGGGGTATATGGCCATCACAAGCTTCCTCTTAGTTCTGGTCTTGGGAGTTCCTGGCCTTGCTATATGCTTTGTTATCTGTAGGTTATAAAAAGCGTCCTATGTACACACATTAGTAGAGAAGAAACAGGTATATTGGAACCTAGTCTTTAAAAGAAAAATTCTTCTAGTAAAGGTTTTAGGAAGCTGCAAAGCAAATGGCAGTGCCAAATTACAAAATCCAATACTAAAATATTTTGTTTATATTTTCGTTGGTGTGTGTGCAGTGCATCTGTGTGTCTGCTATGTGCATGTGTGCATATGTGCTTGCATGTGTGTGTGTGAGAGAGAGAGAGGGGAGGAAGAAGGAGAGGGGAAGGGGAGTCTATGTTTGTGTAAAATAATGTGAGGGTAAATATATGATGGTAAAATGTATGATAGAATGTAAATATAGATCACAGTATGTTTGCAGTTGTAAGTATTAAGTATGCGTGTATATCTGAGAAAGTATGTTCATTGGGAACCTATTGTCTATCTAACAGAATATGTGTTGACAAGGAAACAATCTTACTTTTGTACAGAAACCTTGACTAATAGTGTCATAAGTCTAAAAGATTAGATTATTATACAGTTGCATAGTGCGCAATGTTCTGGGAAACAATTTTTTATTTTTATTTTTTTTGCAGGAGCAAGAGCTCACAAACTTCAGTTATAGGAAATTTTTCTAATTTAAAATGGAATAATCCACACAGTGTAGGAACTCAGCTAGTGTTTGTTAAGCTGACTTAGGTTTTTGGATGGCAATAAAGGGTTGCTGACCTCACAAATCTAAGAGCCACTGCCACCAGGTAGTTATGAGTAATTGCCCTGAGGCAGAGATTGATAATTCCACAATGATAGAACAAGTAGATCTTAACCAATAATGTCCATAAAGTCATGTAAACTATAATCGACCAAACTATGGAAAAGTATATTCTGTAGTTTGTTAACTTGTATTAGGAGCATACTGAATAATGAAAAGAGTGACTGTAACCAATCTTGAAGGTTGCCTGGGAAAAGGCTGTTTAAATCAGCAGAAAAAAGATATTCTTATTCATGTAGAACAACTGTACATTCCAAATACATCTAAGACAATCCCTGTTTATGCACATTACCTACCACTGTTATAATATCAACTTTTATTCACTTCAAAAATTCCTATTTTGGATGATAAATTATATGATAAGTTTCTCTTTAAGAATCAATAATGGTGAACTGTTGGAGGTGAGAGTGACTCAAGTGATCCTAACTATTGTCTACCACCCTCTGTCCTCAGGACCTGGGCCACTTTGGTCTGCCATGGTTGTTTTCAATATGAGCAGTTACAGCCCAGGACCCTTCATCCTGGTGGGGATTCCAGGCCTGGAGCAATTCCATGTGTGGATTGGGATTCCCTTCTGTATCATCTATATTGTGGCTGTGGTGGGAAACTGCATTCTTCTCTACCTCATCGTGGTGGAGCGCAACCTTCACGAGCCCATGTTCTTCTTTCTCTCCATGCTGGCGACGACTGACTTCATCTTGTCCACAGCCGGTGTTCCTAAAACACTCAGTATCTTTTGGCTTGGGGCTCGAGAAATCACATTCCCAGGGTGCCTTACACAAATGTTCTTCCTCCACTATAGCTTTGTCCTGGATTCAGCCATCCTGATGGCCATGGCATTTGATCGCTATGTGGCCATCTGTTCTCCCCTGAGATACACCACTATCTTGACTCCAAAGACCATCATCAAGATTGCTGTGGGCATCTCTTTTCGAAGCTTTTGCATCATCTTGCCGGATGTATTCTTGCTCACACGCCTGCCATTCTGTCGGACACGCATCATACCCCACACATACTGTGAACATATAGGTGTTGCCCGGCTGGCCTGTGCTGATATCTCCATCAACATCTGGTATGGCTTTTGTGTCCCCATCATGACCGTCATCTCAGATGTGATTCTCATTGCAATTTCTTACACTCTCATTCTCTGTGCTGTTTTTCACCTCCCTTCCAGAGATGCCCGCCAGAAGGCTCTTGGCACTTGTGGTTCTCATGTCTGTGTCATTCTCATGTTTTATACACCTGCCTTTTTCTCCATCCTTGCCCATCGCTTTGGACATAATGTTTCCCGCACTTTCCACATCATGTTTGCCAACCTCTACATAGTTATTCCACCTGCACTCAACCCCATTGTCTATGGAGTAAAGACCAAGCAGATCAGAGATAAGGTCATACTTTTGTTTTCTACCAAAGGTTCAGAATAATGCACAATGGAAAAGCTAGGATAAGTTTATAGTGTATATTAATGTAGCAAGAATAAAAAAAGCAAATGCTATTGAAAGTAAGAACTTCCTGCAGGTACTTTTGCATACCAGGAAAATGGCATGATCTCTATGAAAGAAATGATTCTATGTAGAAAAATTCCTTGACGAGTTGTTTGCTTGTGGAAATTCTCCAGGATATGATCAAGAAAAAGGAGATGAAAATAGAGAGCTGAGTTGCTCTAAATGGAAAAAAACACAATAAAAATTTGAAAATTGAGATTTACAGCTTTGGAGAGAGAAAAATGTGCTGAGACAGAGATACTGAAGAACAGAGACTAAAAATATCAATCAGGAATTTCTTATTTAGGGGATTAGTAAATGGATTTAAGACATTTATAATAATATTTGACTCTAATTATTTTCCATATTGTGTTTCACTATAATTCCCTTTAAATGTCCCACCCCCTTGCACACAAAACATTTTTAGTACAATTCTGCTATAAGCAATGAGTTCTATCAGCAGTGTTGTAATGGAAATGAGAGAAATAGTATATTTATCAATGCCAGGGGTGTTGGCACTGGTGCTGGGAGAGGAGAGTAGCTTCCAGGTTCCAAGGTACATTGAGGATGTGAGTTCCTCAGTAGGACATGACCCCTGGAAATATCTGGATATCTAGGAAAAGCACTGGACTTCTCATTGTGGGGGCTAAAAAAACTTTGGCCGCCTTCCACATTATACATAGATGAGACTTCAAGCTAGTTCATTTGAACACTGAAGTTAAAAATGCATCCCATTGTCCGGAGGACTAGTGGAGCTCTTATCTACAGAATGTATTTCCTTGATTGCAAGAGAGAGTCCATTAGAAAACACACACTTCTCCAGCGAGGAAGGGGGTCAGGAGGGCAGCACTACAATAAATAACATTCACTGTAAGATACATCCAAATGTCACAAGCATTAGAACTGAGCAAATACTATACGTTGTGATCAAAGAAAGATATAGAGTCTTGCCAATAAATTTTTAAAAATTCATTTATTTGGAAATTATTTATTGAGTAGATACTGTATTCCAAACATTATTCTAAGTATTCAGAATATTAGGTTAATAATAACAAAAGAGGATCTGCTCTGCTTCTATAGAGCTTATATTCTGGGAAGAGTAACAAATAAGAAGCAAGAAAAAAAATATATTCATTGTTTTAAAACAGTAATATAACCAATAAAAAATAAAACTGATGAACTAAAACTGGATGGAGAGGACAATGGCAAAGAGGATAAGGAACACAGAGACCCTGGGCTGGAAACAGCATGACATGCATTAAGGACAGAAGAGAGGCTGGTGTGTCCAGAACAGAGTGAGGAGGGGATATGAGGTGAGGGATGCAGAGGAGCAGGAACAGATCCTGTGGTACTGGAATAATCCAAATTTCACTCTTGGAAGAAGTAACTGAAGCCCACAGAGTAAAAATGACTTTTCCAAGGTAGACAGTAAGGAAGTCATAAATGTGGAGCTAGAATGGAATCTCTAACCTCCTCAAGTTCTGTGATGTTCCTTCCCATTGAACACAGCCTCACTCTCGTAAAACCAGACTCCACAGGAGGGAAAAAAAATATCCCAGCCTGTTTTTATTGTTTTTGTGAACTCTAGTTGTCTTAAATTAAGTCACATTCGACTAATTGAGGATTCTGCTTTCTGTGCCAACTTCCTAAAAATGCTCACAAACATCGTAAGAGGTTATCTCTTATTCTCTTCTGGTTATTTCTATCTTGCTGAAAATGTGAATTGGCTAACAGCTGATATTTTAAAAAGTTTACTGAAGGAATAATTAAAAATAGAGCCTGAGCCCAAGTAATTTAAAAGTACATAAACCTTTCATCCTGGTAGAAACTCAAACCCATGATTATTCACCGACATGCAAGCTTAGTGACCTAGAAAAACAACAAAGGAAGAGATTGTCTCCTGCACTGTCTCCATTTCCTCCTCCCACCCTCTGTCTTTGGCCCAGTTATCCGTTCTTATTTTCCTACCCTTCCCAGGAGAGTTCATCTATTTCTATGGCTTTATGGACTCTTTGCTGGTCACTCTATATCTCAGTTTTTATGTGTGATCTTCCTTATAAATTTCAGTGTCTGCTTTCCTAGCTTAGGGAATTGGTACTAGGATTAAAAGAATGTAGATGAATATGCTTTTCAGATTTTAAAATACTATTCTAATGTTAGCTTTCATTTAGTATATTTACTAATTACCACTGCCATTCTCATCTAGGACCCATCATGTTTAAAACTGAGCTCATCATTATCATTTAAAGTTCTCCCACCCCACAGCATAAGAAATATAGTCAATATTATTGTAATAATTATGTATGGTACCCACTAGACTTATTAAGGTGATCACTGTAATTATATAAATATAATCACTATGTTATATGCCTAAAATTAATATAATATTGTACATCAAATGTAATTGAAAAAAACCTAATAAAATAAAATAAAATAAAATAAAATAAAATGCTCCCTCTCCTTTACTGTTTATGGGAGGAGATTAAGCTCAGCTATGCTCTTCCCTCAAGTTCAAATTTACTACCCTAGCTTCCAATGACTCCTTTTGATGAGACTGGTTGCAAATATTCTTTCCCATTGTCAGACAACGAATGAAATTACATGTTTTGGTTTGGATTAAAAGAGAATGATTACACAAAAATCAGCACATAATTTTCTCTCTCATAAATTACCTCACCCTATGTCATTTCCTTTTTGTGAATTTCACATCTCTTATATGAGCTAGGAGCTATTAAGACCCTATTAATAATGGGTCGACTTATCTTTTCATCCTAAGAATTTAGAACTCTATTCTATAAAAAGTAGGGATCAATGAATATGTTCCCCTCTTGCAGACTTCCCTCACTTAACCATTCTTTAGGTCTTCAGCCATACTCATGCTGCCATCTCATTTGCCCCCATTTTGGCCAGATACTTACGCCTTGTACCTAGGCCAGTTATTGCATACATGCTTGATGTCATATGCCAATGACAATAACATATAGTTATTGGGTTCAGAAGAATAACGTGGGGGTTATTTAAAACGAGTAAGGAAACAGACTTACAATGTGTGCCTTGGAAGAAAAGAAACAGTTGAAGGTTTTTGTCCTGTATCTGACATTTTGAACCTATATTATTAAAATGAATTTATAAATAATTTATGTCATAATTTTAGTCCAGGAACATTGACAAAGCACCTGTTAAATAGAAGTAAATGCATCCAATGGGGAGTAGAGATGTGAAGCAAATACGCATGCCGCGAGTGATCAAGAGGTTTATAGCTGAGCCCAAGGAGGAAGTCACACATGTGGATGCTTTATTCAGATTATTTTATGGCTTTGCAAGGATTGGGGTAGGATTCTAAGGAAGCCAACTCAACCATCTCTTGGAGTCAAGGAAAGTTTTCTGGAAGAGTTCATCTCTGTGATTGTCTAGAATAACACAAAAACTTTGAACCCCAAGAATAAAGGGGAACAGAACCTCTCACCAGAGGGAATTGCCTGAGACTAAGTGAGAAACCATGTGTTTCAAAGATCTGCAAGCCTAGGTTGATGGGGGAAATTATCTCTAGGTACGGGTTGGACAGTGAGAAATGTGGGAGCTCATAAACCAGTCTTCAGCGGAGGTAGGGAACTGATTGAAATATCAGTAAGTAAACTTTTCCAACTGTCTCATAGCTTGATGCTACTGTTGGCATTTGAAAGCTAATAATTAATCACACATTCTCTACTTCCTCTTGCAAACTAATTGCAACATAGGCATAGGAGTAAGATGGATATAAAAATATCAGCTTTATTTCTGATAGCACTTAATTCAAGAATGTGATATTACTGTATATTCATATTGGCTTCCTACTAATATATATGTGTATATGTATATATATCCTTCCTACTACTTTATTTCCAAGTCTTAACTTTGGAGGTTTGGAGGACACATTGAAGAGTGGGTGAAGATTCATAGAACAATCATATTAGCTCATTTTGTTCTGCAGAAGGCAGCCATTGCATGACAAATGTGTATATACATATATGTGTACATATGCAGAGAAAGGCCTCTATATAAGTTCTTCTCAGACTATCAAGGAGGAAGGACCACTTTTATTTACAAAAACTATAGATTAATACTTTCATAAAATACAATAAAATAAATAACTAGAAAACTAAAATTTAAAAATAACTCTAGAACATATAAATCTTATTTCTATTACTATATTCAAAAGGCATAAAATATTCAAAAGGGCACAACCAAGGTCTGTGCCCTTGACTGGGAATCGAATCTGAGACCCTTCAGTCTGGGGGCTGACACTCTAATCACTCAGCTAAACCAGCTAGGACAATAATCCCATCATTTAAAGACCATTTATTTTTATCTTTTATTTAACATGAGGCAAACAAAACTATATTTTATTATTTATCCTCAATGCTTCATTAGCAGCCAGTTCCAACAATTTATCATATACTTTTACAGTTAAATTCAAATGATATTTCTTTTTAATCATCTTAGAATATGGTGTTTTCTTTTTTAATTGATATTTTAGAGAGAGAAAGGGGGAGAGAATGAAAGAGAGAGAGAGAAATATCAATTGGCTGCCTGCCGCACGCTCCCTGACCAGGGAATAAACCTGCAACCTAGGTATGTGCCCTGACCAAGAATCAAACCAGCCACCTTTTGCTGTACCAGATGATGCTCCAACCAACTGAGCTACCTGGCCAGGGCTAAATGATCTTTCAATGAAAGAAATAGAGTCTAAGTCTTTGTATTTCTATGCATGAATTTTGTATTGATGGAAAATAAAATTTAAAACATTCTACTAAATTTGTAAGGTGTTCGGTGATAACTTTTTGCAAATAAGCTCATCACTATTTTATTAAAAACTATTCTTATTTTATGAATTATGTCATAATATTCTGTAGAAACTCTGATCTTCCAAACTTCTTTTATATTTACCTCTAAAACTTTTCCACTACTGAAAAATATGTGCATGAAAGTATTAAGAATATAAAGAATACCAAATATAGCCAAATAAGAGAATCTGG